TCTCTCTCTCTCTCTCTCTCTCTCTCTCTCTCTCTCTCTCTCTATATCATCTATATATCTATATCATCTATATATAGATATATATAGATATATATAGATATATATATAGATATATATAGATATATATAGATATAGATCAGGAATAGTTTTGTGGTAATCTTACTTGTGTTTGGTATAACCTGGAATTTCATACATAAGTGTCATGGAAGTAGAATTCAAAGATATAACTGTGTTAGTAAAATCAGTATGTAAAGAGATCTTGTACTACCTTTGAGACTGACTGAAAGAAAGAAGTTAGCATCAAGAGCTTTCATAGATTTCAGTCTATGTCCTCAGATGCATTTGGTCTGCCAGCCTTGTGAAAGGCATGTGCTATGAAATACATATGGTCACGTGAACGCATTACACCCTCTGTCTCTCTCTGTCACAGGGGAAGGAAGGAATAGCAATGTAAATGTAAAACAAATTATCCAGACAAAAAATATAAAAACGAATGTGTTATAATATAAAGCAAACTGACAAACTGTTGTGTGCATCCAAGTAATTTTTGACTTATTGTGACCCTAAGATAAGCCTATCATGGGGTTTTCTTGCCAGGTTTCTTCAGAGGGGGTATGCCATTGACATCCTCTGAGGTTGAGAGTGTGACTTGCCCAAGGCCATCCAGTAGTTTTTATGCTCAAGTAAGGAATTGAATCCTGGTCTTCAGTAGCATAGTTGAACACTCAAACCACTAAACCATGCTGGCTCTCAAACTAACAAATACCTATAACCAAAATATAGAGATTAGAAAATAATATTCAACTGAATTTCCAAAAGCTTTGGAAAAACCAAGAAAGTTTTAAATTGAGATTTAAAAACAGTGAGGGAAGGGTCAGTCTGAAAATATTCAGGGAGGCAAATCCAGGAGTATGGAGCAGTAAGTGAAAAGGTAGGAAGGCATGTCAGATATCAGACAAAGGAGGCTTCCATTTTATCACATTTTACAGTATGGTAACATGATTCAAGAGTAGACAGGAAACTGGATAAGATGTGTATATATAGGGGGAAAAGAAAGTTGGAGGAGAAGTTGGAAGAGGGAGGTTGTATCAGTGTGTCAAGTCAAACAATGAATCATGTGTGACAGGAAAACAATTCTAACAGTGCAGCTATATTTAGGGGACTTCTCTCTCTCTCTTTGTTTTTCTTCATCTCCCCCACCCCACTCCCTTCCGCCTTAATCTTTGCTTCAAAAGGAGCCTGGCAGTTAGGTGGAGACTGAACAAATCATAGATGGATATGAATTTGGTGCAGTAAAATGCTCTGATGGGAAGAAGAAAGAGAACTCCCACAAAATAGATCTGCAATAATGCCTTCTCTTAGCTCCAAATGGTAAAGGCATATGCCAGGACTGAGTTTTTTTAATTGTTGTTAATTGCTGTCAAATTGACATGGATTTATGGTGACCCTACACATAAGATACCTCATCCTGTTATCAACTATGGCTTCCTTGATTGAGTTTATTCACCTGTAATGTGGTCTTCATCTTTTCTTCCACTTTACCAAGCATGACTGTCTTTTCTAATGAGTCATGTCTTCTCAAGATATGTCCAAAGTACAAAAGTCTCAGTTTAGTCATTTTGGCTTCTAAAGAGAGTTCAGCCTGGATTTGTTATATGACCCATTTATTTGTCTTTTGGCAGTCCATAATATCCATATCCCACTCCTCCAATAGCACATTTCAAATGAGTTGATTCTCTTCCTGTCTGTTTTTTTCCCCAGAGTATTTTACTGTTTTCACAATCATACATAAAAATCAGAAATATTACAAAATGGATGATGTGATGTTGGTATTCACTTATATATCTTTACACTCAAGGATTTTGTCTATTTTTTTCATAGCTGCCCTCTCAAGTTCTAGTTTTCTTCTGATTTCTTGACTACAGAGATAATCAGATCCTTTGTCAATAAAAGTTCCTTCTTTTAAAAAGACATTTTATTACATTTCTTTAGGCTTGAATTCATTAATACAGTTTAAATGAGAGAATGAACATGTAATTCATTGACCAATTAATGGAGATAATAAACAGGAGATGGTGGCAAGTATAAATATTACAGAAAAATTGGCCAGGTTTATTGGTCACATAAAGAAGTATGTATGGATTACAACTCTGACGATCAGGATTCCCTACTTGGCCAAGGAAAGCCCCCAAATTTTCAGCCCGCAGAATGTGATAGGGTGACTTTGGGGTTACCATGAGTCAGAAATGACTTAAATGCACACAACAACACCTCTGACTCTAAGGATTTTATTGCAGTCATTCCATGGTATCCTTCCACAGGAATCCATATTGTGGTGAAAGAATATAGACCTGTCTAATATCATGTATATGTGTAATAAAAAGGTGCCAGCCCAGGTCTCTTAGAAGGTATAATGACTTTGTCATAAATCTAGCCTGACATATTGGGTTAGCATTTTAGTTATAGATTTAGGTTGATCAAATAAGTCAGTTTTATTGTCACTCACATTTTTGTATACCTAAAGTACTTTCCATCAAATTTGATAGTAAATGTGTGAATTTTTAAGACCTTTCAAAAAACTATAGGAAACAAAAAGGAACTCTTGATCATCTAGACCAGTGGTTCTCAAACTTTGATCCTCTAAGCATTTTGAATTTCAGACCCAACAATTCTTGACTTTTGGCGATGGTGACTGGGTCTTCTGGGAGTTGATGTCCAAACATCTGGAGGATAAAAGTTTGGGAATCACTGATCTAGACTAACCAAGTTCAGTATATGTAGTTATTCTCAATAAGGAGAGAATTCTGTTGGACATGCTTGTCACGGAGCTATTAAATATAAGGTTATTGATGTTGTGTACCTTCAAGTAATTTCTGACTTATGGCAACCCTAATGTGAACCTATCATTTGTTCAGAAGGTGTTTGCCATTGCCATCCTTTGAGGCTTACAGAGTGTGACTTGCCCAAAATCATCCAGTGGGTTTACATGGCAGAGCTGGGATTTGGACTCTGGTCTCCAGAGTCATAGTCCAATACTCTAACCACTATACCACACTGACTCTCAAAATATAATATCAGATACCTCCTAGGAAAATAAGAGGTGGCAATTCTGTTATTCAGCAACACAAACAGGTTGAATGTATGAGGTATTCAAAGCTGCAGTTTTACAAGCTAAGCCTAGGGATGGATGATTCTGTCAATTTCAATTCCTCCTACATTCTTTCTATTGAATTTATGTAGGAATGTGCAAATTTTGAAAAGTTCTTATTACAAATTAAACAAACAGAATCTTCACCTATCTGTAATTACTAGGCTAGCTGGATACTGAATTATGTTTATAATGATAATTTCCATCTCATTGCCCTTGAGCCCTGAAACATAAACAGTTGCTGCTTTCAAAGCAAGACATTGATCTCCAACATAAGCACTTTAAAATCCTGTTCCTTCTGTCACAAACTTTGGAGTTTATCACACGGGAGGCAAAGCTCCCAAATCCCATGGATAAACAGGGATTAAATCCAGGAATATCCCACAAGAGCGGGATTGTCTTCAGACGACGGTCCCCAATGTCACCATTATCCTATAATTAAACCATGAATAAAGTGGCCAAAATTTTCCTGAAAATAAAAAGTAGCCAAAAGCAGCCAAATTGCGCACTTTAATTAACGGGTTAATTCCAGGACAATGGCAATGTTGGGAGATGTCGTTGGAAAACAATCCTGCTCTTGCGGGATATTCCCAGATTTGATCCCCATTTATCCATGGGATTTGGGTGCTTCCCTCCCATGTGATAAACTCCTTTGTGCTTATTTCATTTAACTTGCAGACAGGAAATTTCACCATGCAGACAGGAAATTGCAGCATGGTCCATCTCAAGAATACTGGGAGGCTGGGGGATTTGGGGAGTTGTTAAAAAAAAAAATTTGCAAGATCTGTGGGTGAGTAACACTAAAGTGAAAAACTGATAAAAAATAGTTGAAATCCAAAGCTTTTCTTCCCAGCCCTAGTCTAGTGCTTTATTTTTCAGAAGTCTTATAGGAATATGGCCATTGCTGGTGTTCTTCACTGTTGCTATCACTCTTTTCAGCACAGTGCTCACTGATGTTGTGAGTATGAATAATTACAGTGTGCTAGCTAAACTCTCATTCAGGTACAGTTTCCTTAGTTCACTTAGCATTTGATGTTTTTGAAATATGCTGCCTTTTATGTTTTGATGTTTATCAAATAATTCTTTCTTTTGAGAAACATAAGCCTTATTTTCTCAATATCTCAGTGTGATCAATGTGAAGGGCATCTAATATATGTTTATAAAGGAGGACTTGGCTGGATTTTGTGCCTCTGGAGTGGGGCACGACATGAACCCCATTTCATATCCACAATTTCGGTCTGGTTGGTTAGTTTGCAAAACATAACTCCTGAAAAAAAGAAACGAGAGTAGTCATTAACTTGCTTCAGAGGCAGCAAATATTTTGGACAGGATCACTTGGATACATGCAGCATTTATATGGCCAAGGAGAGGTAGCAATGTAGCACCCTATATACCTACTGTAACTATTGTCATAGGCCTATCTACATTTTGTTGGGCATTCCTGAATTAACTTAGTTTTCATTTCTATTGAGCAATTGTATGAATCCCTCTTGGCCAAGACTATGAAACCAAAGGAAATCAAAGCTTGTAGTCCTTTGAGGTGGTAACTAAGGGTGCCTTCATGTGTATATAAAATTGGGTATAAGATGTTTTGCAGTGGTGATAATTCTTATGGCTTCAGAATGTGTGTTGTGTGCAAGTGCTACTGGCTGCCTGTCTGTTTCTTGGCAGTATTCACTTATGACAGCCTCTAAAGCCTATAAAGGGGATGCAGTGGCTCAAGTGGTTAAGACGCTGATTCTGTTGATTGAAAGATTTTGGCAGGTTGGCATTTTGAGGCCCAGGTGCTGCATGATGGGATAAGCTCCTGTCACTAGTCGCAGCTTCTGCCATCCTAACAGTTTGAAAGCATGCAAATGCAAGTAGATAAACAGATACATCTTCAGTGGGAAGGTAAACAGTCTTCTGTGCAATCATGCTGGCTACATGATCACAGGGTAGTCTCTGACAATGCTGGCTCTTTGACTTAGTAACAGAGATGAGCACCACCCCTTGACAACTTTGTCAACGGGGAATACCTTTACCTTTTTTAAAGCCTCATATAGTTCAGGTTCAGGTTATTTGAATACAATATTCTTCCATATGATGCGACCTGTGTTTTGAGATCTTCTGGGGAGGCTCAGCTCTCTGCCTCACCATTTTCACAGGTACCTTTGGTGGGAATGTGGGAGAGGGTTTATCAGTGGTTTCTCCCAGACTCTGGAACTCCCTTCCTAGAAAGGCTGGACTCTAGACACCCTCCTTACTGTCTTTCTGCAAATAGGTAAAACCCTTTTTATTTCAGCAGGCCTTTTGAAATATGCTGCCTTTTATGTTTTGATGTTTATCAAATAATAATAAGTCTTGCATAATATGTTAGACTTTTATTGTTACTGTTTTAATTTGCTTTAACTGGTTTCAGTTTTATGATGGTTTAATTATTTTTTTAATGCATCAGTGATGTTATGAATAGACTTGGAAATCTGTAGACCTTCTGGCCAACCTGAGAGCTTCAGGAACTGTACAACCAAAGTATATGTCCCATTTCCCCTTCTTTTGAATAGAAGGCACTTGGATCTCAAAGATGGAGAAAGAAGTGATGCAAGTAACTCATACTTCATTCTTCTCCCATGTTCGTAGTTATGGAGCACAGTTCTAAAAAACAGTTTTAAGAGGTTGGCATTATAGAAACAATGGATCACTGGCTTTATGTGGCCCCAATATGATCACATATTGAAAAACTATGGAAAAACTGCTCTTCATTTTCCAGTTTGGATCATTGGAACAAGGTAAGAAAGAATAGGAGAGAATTTCTGGAAGGTAGAAGACAGGAGGTGCAAAAGGGTACTTATGTGTCTATGTATTTTTCCGTGTGTCTTCCAACTAACTCAGGATGGCATGCATAGTGTTCTTAACTTAGCACCTAGAACACACACACATTGTCTAAATTCAGAAGCTAAGCAAGGATAAATTAGGTTACTACTTGAATGGAAGATTACAAGGGAATACTAGTTAGGATATCCACCTGGGAAAGAACTTGCCTGAAACCCTATAAAACTGCTTCTGGTCAGTATCAACAGTATTGAGTTATGCAGACTAACGGTGTGACTCAATATGAGGAAGCTTTCTGTGTTGTTGTTTTTTATACTCAGAGTAGTCTTATGTGGTAGATGAAATGCAGAAATAGTAGTGTGCCAAAATATCTAAACAAGTATGATGGGAGAGTATAACACACTGCACCCTGTTGTAGTAAACTATAGGTGGTGTGCAAAATGTTCTGGGTTCAAACACTGGCATCTCCAGTTAAAAGGATCTTAGGGGGGAGGAGACAAGTACAAAGAGGGCATGGGACATTCCCATCCATGATACCCTCCAGCCCTAGAAACCTTTTAACTTTACCAGAAATGGTTATTGCACCGGCACAAAAGATTCCCGATGCCTTTTCTTAGGTAATAAACTGGCCACAACTTTATATCTTTACAGGGTCTTAAAACAGTTTTCATTTACAAGAATTCAATTATTCATAATTTCGTTCTTGATACATGTGTCCATGCACTTAACTGGCGGATCTATCGAGGTAAACCACGCCCAGCACGACATGTGTCAAGAACGTCCTATTCAAATTAGTTACACAATTTCAATAAATCACCCCCCCACACACACACACCGGAAATGATGTCGTAATCAAACATATGACGTGATTAAGGTATGACATCACCAACATTTTTTATGACGTCATAGAGAATTTAATTAACCCAATGACGTACACCATCCATCCACATTAATTAATTCAATTTGATAAGTTCAATTAACTGGATTATCCCCTGGGGGGGTCCCTGCTCGCCACTGGAGAGGGCCAGCCTAGCTTGGCATCCCCTCCCCCCCAGAAGAGCTCGTTCAATGTAACAAGCAACAGAATCAAAGTATACGTCACATCCCTCAGGGGACAGATGAACCCCATTGCCCCTGTACAGATGTGGCAACCAAACCTGAATTCCCTCATGTTCAACAACCAAAATCCCCAATTCCACCAACTTCTTAGCCACAGTCCTGTTCAACCAATGGTGAGCGGTGTTGATGGCTGAGTTCTTCTGTGCACCTGCCCAAGTACGATGAGGCAAAAATTTAGTCCACAGAATAACAGTATGAGGCAATCTTTGCATAATGTCCCACATTTCTTTCAAAATACGCTTGGCCAATTGCAAACAGGGAAGCTTCACCAAGTCATTTTCGCCCAGGTGCATAAGAAGAATCCTGGGGGTGGCAAAGTGTTTATCAACTCAATAACGTGTGGAAGAAGAGCTCCCCACCGCATGCCTCTGCGTCCAAACCAACATATGGAACCGATCTCCCTTAGCCCCAAGTTCAAATCACAGTGAGATTGTAAGATGTGATGCTCAGCCCAAAAGACGAGGCTATGGCTTATGATCCATACGTCACCCTGTTGCTGACCTGTTTGATAGGAAAAACATGTTAACTGTAAAATGCATAACTCCATCATTTTTAATCATGAAATTACAAGCAACCTCACTATGGATGAATATAAGATTTAAAAGCCCTGGATTGCCAATGCCCAATCCATTGAATCGCAGTATCACTTAAGCCCTGTGCCGTTGCAGCTCCTATCTGAAAGGAATGAAAGGAAAATTGATCCACTGGCAATCCTGCCTATCTCACAGTCTCCCGGAACACAGCTTGAAATTGATACTGCATCAGTGGAAGAGCAGAGACATGAAGAAACAAATAACCAGGGCCATTCGGTTGCAATCTGAGGTAACCAGACAATGCAAAAACAGGGCAAATCAGACCCTCAGATGCCCTAGACAGAATTACAGTTTGGCCCCGGGCCATCTGATCAGTCTTAGTACACCTGAAAGAAACATGAATACCATACCCCGAAATTTGAACATCGGATAAGCAAAGTGCCCTACC